GTCATAGTTAAATTTGAGCACGACATGGAAATAAAACCTCTGCCCTCTAAGGCGACAATTTGTCGAAAAAGATCTCTATCTCGAGTTCTATGGAAAACACAAACGTTTTGCTGACGGATACAGAAGCACTCAGTGTGTTTGTTGATGTAGATTTAACACAAAAGCACAATATTTGTACTTGAGGAAGTTGACAGACGAAAAAAATTGTTCCTTATTTCCACCATATCACAAATTACAAGAAATGAAACAGACCTGCTATCCACCATTTTCTGCAATAGAAATTACAAACACACAAACAGAAATTATAGAACTGAAAAATTTATTGGATCACACTGTAAATAGAATTTTGACTAAAGCCACAAAATAAGTTGTATCAATATTTCAGTGAGCCTAAATAGGCATTTTGAGCAGCCCACTGTACTTTTGCTCATTGGTTACTTAGCGGACCATTAGTGGTAGCCACCAAAAGAGGCTAACCGATGACTAGCCACTAATAACATATCGGAAAGTTACTGGCTGGCCATTTATATTGACCACCACAAACGGTCCACTAAATAATTGGTGAGCAAAACTCCAAGAAACCACTAAAAATTTGCCTAAATAGGTCCACTGCAAATCCGCTAAAACAATGTTTGCTGAGTAGACGCCGAGGGCAGTAATAAATTTTAACATTTAATTTTGTATAGTAAATGGGGTTGTGATAGCTTCTCTGGCCGAGGCAAGTACAAGTAGTAACTTCCAGAGGAATTTGAACTTTTTTCTGATGCAAATCTATTTATTAGTTCTTTGGTAATAATCAGAAATAAAAGCTAAATATACTCTTTACAACCATCTATAATTAAAAAAAGTTGTAAATGAATAAAAGTGAAAAATGAACCTTTTTTAACAACAATAGATGGAAAAGTGGCTCAGGTATTACCGGATACGCCTTCTACGTCTACATGTACGTCTACAATAGGTGGAGATATTCCACGACAAATGAACGATTTGGGTAAAATGTCTGCTAAGCTTGAAATTGAAAGTTCGTATCAATATGGACTGTCGACATTACATGCCTGAATTCGGTGTAAGGAAATGATATTACAATATTTCCTACAACCTGTCTTTCCAGACATGGTCAGCTAAAAGAGAAAAAAAAAAACGATAAAAGAAACATAAATGTGGGCAGTTTCTATGCTACAGAAACTACCCACATTTATGTGACTAATTATACCTGGTAGTATATGCCGTCTTCCTATCCCTTCATCACCACTTCCGATCCCTTCATCACCAGCATTAGAAAACCGTACCAAAAAAAATGTCCAAGAACTTGATCAAGATACGTTGCTTTTGAAAGTCAACCTATAATTTATTTCTTAAAAATTCACCGTATAAAAATTGTTAATAATAAACTATTCTGAATATTTCTAAAATAAGCATTTTATAAACTCTTGAAAATATTCATGCAAATATTGAAATGACAAATTAATGAATTGGTCTTTTTTTGAACTGATTTTGATTTAATAAAATAATGAACATGCAACAATTAAAAAAACAAGTTAATAAAGCAATCAAGCCTAATATAAGAAAAATGCTCGTTAAAAAGTTTAAAAGGTACGTGTTTGTTTTTTGTCTAGAGTTTAGTTAAAAGCTCGTATAAATTTATATATATATATATATATATATATATATATATATATATATATATATATATATATATATATATATATATATATATATATTATATATATATATATATATATATATATATATATATATATATATATATATATATATATATATATATATATATATATATATATATATATATATATATATATATATATATATATATATATATATATATATATATATATATATATATATATATATAGGTGGTAAAAGATTTACATATATGTAAAAAAAATCTTTATTTAATCCAAGTAACTAAAATCACGTCATATTCATCATTGTTCGAATTATTCAATTTGGAATCTAATGTTGAACCAGTTTTATCTAAATCGGAATCGTTCCTTGTCTCTTGTTTGGTGACTTTAGTCAGGTTGTTTTAACAATTGTATAGCTTCTTGTTGTAGAGCTTTTGCCGGTCTCTGGGGCAATTTCGTGATGCTCGAGAGAAATGGATCTGATGTTAACAAGAGACTATTAAAAAATATCTCTCATATTCAATTCTCTTGAGCATTTTCTTGAATGATGTAATTTGAAGTTTTTCCTTATTGCGTGACTCTTAGGCATCTTTAGAAAGTAGTCCAATCGGTAAAAGGGTATATTTTAAAATTGTGTCTGTGATTCTTTCTTACGCATTTTTAATTTTTTTTTCTCTTCCTCTTGACGAGCTACTTTTCAGTTGTTAGCTTATACAACAAATGCAAACTGTATTCGAAAAAACGAATTCATGCATGCAATGTAGATATGCCTAATTTTTAATTATCTGTAGTAATGTCCATTTTTATAATGTTGTTGATGTCATGAAATTCTTTAGAGGAAGCTTGCACAGGAAACAGCGTTGTGCAGAAGTGATACCAGTTACTGCATTACAGACTTTACTGTCTGTCATCGTAAAGGACATACAATAAATTACTGAAATGGGTTTTCCATTCTTTTTAGTGGCATATGGTGCAAGACCTTCAATCTGCTGTTCAATGTCGGTAACTTCTTTCAATGTTGACTGTACATCTTTATGTACAAACTGCAATCGTATTGGTCTGCAGAATCGCAAAGACGATGGTCTAGGATTTTTCTACACAGTAGTAGCAGTTGTATACAAAACTGATGGATAACAACGTTTTTTTTGCTTTTTCTACTTCAAGGTATGATGGGTTTAGTTTGCATTTATGTGCTCTATCTACATTTCTTGATAGTTGGTAAGAGTCCTTTAATTATCCCTTTTTGATCATTAAAGAATGTGCTTCGTCTGGGATTAAAGTTACTTCATTTTGCGACCATACAGCAGATATATATTTTGAGGCTCTTGTTAGGGGACATTTTTAACAACTTGAGCAGCAAGTACTTGACCAGAAGTCCTTAAACTCATTTGAGCAGCATATTCCAATTCTTCTGCTGAAAAATTAGAACGTACTTCTTAAGTCTTTCGCTTTTTTGATCTATTACTAGATTAAGCAAAAATTGCGATGGTCGCCCTTATTTTCCTTTTTTATGATCGTTTTTTACAACCTTCTCAGGTGTTGTGCATTCAGTATTGGATAATTTTGAAAAATGTTCGGTGCCCTTTAACCAGTCTTCATTTTTTTTTCAGAAAAAATTCTTCCTATCTTCCATCTTGATCGAAAATTTGCAAATAACCGAAATAATGACATTTTATTCTCGCTTATAGGTAAGAATGAAATGTCATTATCACGGTTATTTATTTCATTATCACGGTTTTTTTTTTTTTCAGAAATTTCAGAAAATAACCGTGATAATGAAATTATCACGGTTAAACCGTGATAACCGTGATAATGAAATTATCACGGTTATCACGGTTTTTTTTTTGAAATTATCACGGTTATCACGCTTAAATTATCATGCTTATTTTCTGAAAATTTTTTTTTTAGAAAATTTTCTCTGAAAAAAATTTTTCTGATAAATGATTTTTTTCTAAAAATGTTTTTTCAAAAAAAAGGAACAAGTAATACAAGTATACTTCCATCTGTCAAAACATCAATGATGAATTTATATTCATTTTTTAAACTGTCTTCTACCATAACGAATATATCTTTTCTTGAATTTGTTGACCTGTTAATTAAAATTAACAGTTTTTTATGTTTACTTGTCGCGCGAATTAAATATTAAAAAAATTAAAATTAGCAATAACTGTACATAACCATATATTCTACATACCTCCAGAAAATGATTCCATTTTGCCGAATTCCAATTGAAATAGTTTCTTTAGTTTTACAGCACTTTAAAACAGGCATGAATTTTTCGACTTGCCCACTTATTTAGTGCGTACCAAACGGAGGCTAAATGTCAACTTATATCCAGGCTACCCTGGAGCAGGTATATATCTGCCCGGTTCGAAATTTTGCTCTAGGACTATCTGTAAACAAGACAACGTAAAAAAACGAAAATATAAAACTCAAAAATTTGACTTCTGGCAATGAATTTAGGATTTCGTCCCACTGTGCGTCATTTCTCAAAAAACACAAAAAAACACAAATCTGCACCCTATATCACCAAAATTTTTGAAACTTGGAACAAATGTTTATAGACATATGTTAGGAAAGATTGTATTTTTTTTTCATAAAATTCCTTACCGTTTATAATTTACAGCAAGGCCTTCTTAAACAGGCCGCGACAGCTCATTTTCCGTAAAATTAGCGAAGGCCGACTTTTTTACGGAGAAGTATAGTTTCAATGAGGATTTTGGTTGTTTGATTTAAACTATAATAGTTAAACTCGTAAAATGCCTAATAAATGCTGCGTTTATGGTTGCTCCTCAAATTACAAATCAAAAGTAAAAGATAATGTTTATGTCACAATGTATAGATTCCCCTTTAAATGCGAGGATCGCGAGTTATGGATTAAAAAACTTCCAAATGCAAACTTTGTGTTTACAGATTATAAGCGAATTTGTGCTCAGCACTGGCCTAAAGATGCAGAATTAAAAAAAGTCAAAGGTGGTAGTTTTGTTCCAGTGCATCCTCCATCAGTCTTTAAAGGTATACCAGTGTCTTGTATTCCAATAGTGTCTAGAAAACGAGATGTCACTGGGTTATTATGCTCTGAAAGAAATATTTTACCTGATGAGTTCGAAAACTTCAAAAAAATGGACGTTATTCAATTTAATTCAATTGTAAAAAATTTGAAGTCAATAATAAATAACTGTGAAGAAAAATTTTATTTTGTTGAAAAAGAAAAAAATATATCTTTAATATCATATGAACATTGTGGACCAGTACCTAAGTTTTCAATATATATAACTTTAGAAGATTCTGGAGATATTTATTTTACTGGATATAGCCAACTTTTACAACAAAGTCTTTTGTTGTCTTTTTTAAACAAAGGAGTTATTAAATATTATTCTCAACTGGAGAATGCTGTTAGTTATGTTATTAATAATGAAACAGATTTTAAGCGAGCAAGTTATATTAGGCATCAAGTAGCTTTATTAAATAAAACAAACAATACACCATTTTCTTTAGAGGACATTTCTGATGCATTACATCTTTATTCAAAATCTCGTTCAGTATCTTTTGATCTCGTTGAGAAGCTTGTTTTGCCAAGTGTACGAGAGTTACAACGAATGACAAAAAAAATAAATAAACTTGAAGATACTGAATATTTAAAGATGATATTTAAAGAACTTCAGGAATTTCAAAAATACTGCTTTATCTTGGCTGATGAGGTGTACATAAAACCTGGGCTACAGTACTCTGGTGGTAAGTTATTTTTAACTAATCAACTGGAAAGCCAAGATTTTTGTTTTTAGTTTTTTTTTTAAACTATTGTTTGAAAAGCTTAAATAATTGTAGAACTCTCAAATAGTTAAAATAAATCATTGAAAAAAAATATTTTTTAAGGTGTTAATTTTGTTTATTGATTATAGGTATTGTGTATGGTGAAGCAGAAAATATCCAAGAAAAAGCAAAAACAGTTTTAGCACTAATGCTTCTTTGTCTTTTTGGTGGCCCACGACTTGTTATAAAAGTTTTTCCAGTTTGTAAAGTTACAACAAATTTTCAAACAAGCGTGATAGAAGAATTAAATCAACAAATCATAATTGCAGGTGGAAAGCCTCTTGGGTTAATAATGGATAACTGTCGAGTAAACCAAAAAACATTTCAAAATTTTAATGCAAAAAAAGTTCCAGCATACTATCTTTTAAATGACACTGTGCATATTTTAAAATGTATTCGAAATAATTGGATCACTGAAAAATTACAATGTTTAAAATATAGATTGCTAAATGATAACGATACTGTGCGACTTGCAGAATGGAAATTTATAATTCAACTTCATGCTGCAGATAGTGGAATAGTTAAGTTGTCACCCTTAACACAAAAAGCTGTGTCACCAAAACCAATTGAACGACAAAATGTTGGATTAGTTCTTAAAGTTTTTTGTGATGAAACAGTTGCAGCATTACGTGTAAAATTTCCTGAAGCTGAAGATACTGCACTTTTTATTGAAACAGTTGTTAAGTGGTGGCTTATTGTCAACAGTAAAGCAAAAGGTCTAAATATTAGATTAAATGATATTCGAAGAAAGCCTATTACTTCAGTCAATGATTGGCAAATAGATTTCTTAGAGAACCATATTTCGTATTTTGCTAAAAATTTGAAATGCGTAAATTCAAAATTAAGAGAGAAAAAGTTAACAATGGATACTGCAAGTGCTTTGCAAAAAACTTCTAAAAGATTAGCAAGCTGTGCCAAGTATTTGTTGAATTGCGGTGTATCTTATATATTGTTAGGACATATGCAATCAGATGCACTAGAAAAACAGTTTTGGAAATATTGGCAAGGGTCAGGTGGCACATATCTGATAACTGTGCAAAATGTTATTCAAAAATTTAGAATCGACAAAACTAGAAAGTTGCTAGACAAGCATACAGATTTTACAATATTTCCTCCTGCTCACCACCACTGTGATAAGTGTGAACTTGATGTGGAGTTTAATATGTCAATATGTGAAAATTGTGAGGATCAGTTGCCAAATGAATGCAAACAAGGGCTTTTATATATTGCAGGTTTTATTGCTTACAAACTTCCAGAATTACATTCAATTTTAGAAGAAACAGACACCTTTGATATGTTTCAAAAATATGGAACTTTGATCAGTTCTTTGAACAGGGGAAGACTAAGAGAACCTTCTGACAATTTAGTCTACTTTGTTTTTTTATTGTTTTTTTATATTTGAAGTGACACTTGTGAATAAAGTTTCACCATTGCTGTGCAAGAAAGAATTAATTGACATTTTTATTAACTGCAATAGTAAATTTAAATTGCTTGTTCATAGTGTTAAAAAAGTTTGCTGCATTTTGGCAAACATTTTTTTAAACAATTATTGTAAAAAACACTCTGAAGATTTTGGGAAGGAATGTTTAATAAAACAAGCAAAACTTTCAACTTCAAAATAAAATACTTTGAGTCAAAAAAGTCAAAATAATTTTAATAAAATAAAGTTAATATATTTGTTTGTTTTTATCAAAAAATTTATTATTTGTATTACAAGTGTTAAACAGCTAAAATAAACATATAGTTATAAAAACAAGATTTAGTCATTTTTAGCTAAACTCCTTAAATTTTTATTGTAATTAACTTATTTCTTAACGTAAAAAAAATTCCAACAATATTTGCTTTCGAAATTCAATCAAAATGTTTTGTCCTAATAAAGCTCTTTATTTGTTTCTGAAGTTTGTTTACAAAAGCAAAGATAAAAAATAATTTTAACCGTAAAAAAGTCGGCCTTCGCTAATTTTACGGAAAATGAGCTTTCGCGGCCTGTTTAAGTAGGCCTTGATTTACAGCAATTTGAAGTTTTCTTGATTTTTTCAGCTGTTAGAGGTGTACCTGTAACGTCCGTATTGCCTTGAACATAAACATAAACAACGAGAAAGACGCTTTGAGGACAAGAATTCGAGAACTAAAGTTTGCTTGGTCTCTTGTGATATTCCAACTTCATGTTTTTTGATTGATAATATAAGAAAGGTTATATAAGAAAGATTGATAATAATAGAAATTTTACAACTGTAAACTAACTAGTTTAGTAGTATATTTACAAAAAAATATTGACTTATTACCTTAGACTAAGTCTAAGTAATTCAAGTTTGTACCGTCTCGATATGAGACGGTACGAACATGCGAATTGATGTTGTGATGATGTTATTTATTATATATATATATATATATAATTAGCCATACATCTACAATTAGTTTTATATCTGCCTGAATTATCACCTCCCTCCTAAATCACTAAACTTGCGCCTGAATTATCATATCACCCCTAATAAATCAATCAATGTAAGATAGTGGCAACTGTATTGCGTGATGATGATAAAAGTTATGCATTTGTAAATTAAGTGGTCATTTGTTTACTTGAAATACTCTACAAATATTCTTTTTATCTGTCTGAATTATCACCTCTTCCCTAGTAAATCACTAGACTTGTGCCTGAAATATTCCCTCCCTTTAGTAAATCAATTAGTATAAGATGGTGTGATAATATTATTTAGTGATAGTGATAGAAATTATACAATAATAAATAATTAGTCATACATTTCCATGAAAATACTCTACAAATACTTTTGTATTTGTCTGACACATCACCTCCCCACTAGTAAATCACTAAACTTGCACCTAAATTATTACCTCCCCCCTAATACATCAATTATAATGAAATGGTGCGATAATGGTATTGTGTGATAATGATGGAGTTTAAAGAACTGTAAATTAATTAGTCATATATTTACTTAAAAATAGTTTAAAATTCTTCAAATCTGTCTGAATTATCACCCTTTTAAATCATTGAACTTGTGTCTGAATAGTTAATGAATAGTTACTTCCTAGTCTGAATAGTTACCTCCTAGTAAATTAATCAACATAAGTTGATTAATTTACTCATCTAAGATAAGTCACAAGATGATCTTGTGACAGTGTGATGTTTTCTGGATTGTTGTTGTCAAATCAAAAAAAAAGTTGAAGATTACTGGCAGAAGGTATGTTTGTTATTAATTTAAAAAATTCCGTATAGAAAGTTTCTTCTTATTTATCATATGTAATTTTTTGCTGTTTGTTATTAAATTTCATGATAAATTGAAATTATTCTTTAAATTTAATTGAAATCTTTATTTTTGCCCTCATTTTTAACTAGGGGTTACACTGGCTGAGCTAAATTTGTGTTCTGTTTTAACCATGCTAAACATGAAATAACAATCAAGATTTATATCTTCAAGGAAAGTCATTAATTATTTTACATATAAATTATTTTATTAACTGTTAAATATTTTTAAAGTTTTCTTTTTACATTTAAGTTTTAATAATCTACTACCTAATGTTCGTTAAAAATTATAAAGAAATTTTTTTTTAAATTATTATTTTAAATTGTTATAAATATTAATGCTAAATGTTTACAATTATTTAAAATAAGAAATCTTATTTTTAACATCTATTTCAATTTTTTAAAGTTTTTGCTTTTTTAATTATTTTTTTGTACCAAATATTTTAACTTGGCAAAAAAAAATTCATTGTTAGTTATAGAGTTGCGTCTTACTACAGGGAGTTTTCAAAAGTACAAGTCTGTGCATCAAACTGTTGCCATAAGGCTGGCTGTTTGTTATGATGAAGGTTTAAACAAAGTTATGCAAATTGTTTATCTGGTTTGGATTTATCTAAACAAGTACAACCACCTATGCATGGTTCTCATGTGAACAGGAAGGTTCTCAGGGAAATGCAATTGGAAAGAGACGAAGCTGGTTTTAGTAAATTTGTAAACATTGTCATCAAAGAAATATAGCCAAATGAAATAAAGATAATTAATTTCTGGGAGAACCTATTATTTTTTAAAAGGCCATCATCAAAAAGCTGTTTGGTTGTAAAAAATGGAGTTAAAGATGAACTTTTAGTATAAAAGCTTTTTTCTTCTACTATATCACACCTTTTGCAGAAGGAAATCTGAAAAAAATATCAAACAGATGATCCTATGTTGTCTTTTCTTTGCAAGGACCTAGATGCTGCATAGATCCCTAATTAAGTTGATTGATAAAACTGATATTCTCCTTAAATGCTATTCCGTTCCTTATTTATTCTTAATTTATTAGAGCTTGATATTACTGATAAAAGTATTTATCTAAAGATAAAAGATATTCATTTAGATTTTCAACTAAAGAAAGACTTCAGAATTGATTACGTCAAGATAGAGTGAAAACTGTAGATGTAAAAAAGTTTATAAAGGAAGCTGCAAGTATGGTAATTTTTTTATTGGATAAAATCACTCGAAAAAGTTTAACTCACTTCTGGTAAATTTTAATAAGTTTTTGAAAATTAGGCCTGGATTTTTTAAACTAACAAGAAAACAGAAAAAGTAAGTCAACAACAACTAGAGAAGCAATTTGATTAGGTCAAAAAAGTTTTATTTTCATTATTGTCAAGTTACTCTTTGGTGCTTTATACAAAGTGGGATGGGTGGGTGGGATTTTTCTCCAGATGTAATAAATGTAGAGATATTAGGACAAGGAGGTCTTAATAAACTACTATTACTATTTATATTGTAAGTATAAGGTGGCACTACTCTTAACAAATTTGTAAATAGTAGTCATCCTGTTGTAATGACTACAATAATGGACTCTCTAAGGAGTGTCTGTTTATCAATATATTTATACATATAGAGATATGCTGAGTACCTGACTATCTGGCAGTCTTTCCGTGTACCTGGAAACCCACTTTGCTGGCTAATTAAGAAGAAATTGTTTTTGTATCAGGGTTGGGATCAAACACATATTAGTATTTGGTAAAAATGGACTAATTTGGCTTATTTGTAACTTTCTGAAAAGTTTCTTGAATATTAGTAATCAAAATGTATTTGCAATTTGTAAACTATATTAAATTGTGCTTTTTTTTTTAAGAAAAATCAAGAGGCTTGTGTTGTTGTTTTTTTTCGTTTTAAACTCTAAATTAATGAATAATTTGTTTTTAAGAGAATTTTGTTAGAAGACTTATTTTATTCTTCTATCAAGTTTACAGATATATCAGTCTTGTCTCTAAAAAATGTTTGTATTTTTTTTATTTATCCTAAAGTGCAAATGAAGAGCTTAGTGTTAAAAGTACCAAAGTCAAAAAATAAATGTTTTGAGGGAATATACTTTGATAAGAGATATAACACTTCAAAATAATGATTTAAAATGACTGATAGATTTTATTAAAACATTTATTTTGTGACTTAAGTACTTTTAGCACTTGGCTCTTTAAATATTTGTATTTGTATTAGGAAAGAAGTTATACATAAAGTATGTACGCTTTTATTTCTAAAAGTACCTACGCTTTTAACCTAACTACCCAAGGTTTTATGATATTTTTATTGAGTGTCTTAATTTTATAATTAACCACCTGCCCTTTATCTCATATGCTACATTTGCAGGCTCTTTCTTCCAGCGGTTTAATTATTGGTTTCTGACATAATAACTGAAATGTTTAAAAAATGCAGTAAAATCTTGTGCAAAAATTTACAGTTTTTATATCTTTTTTTATGAAAAATATCCAATTTTCTTCCAGAAATACTTTAATTATTATTATCCAAAAAATATTGTTGAACTATACTTTTCCAAATTTTAGATCAATAACTTTTTTTTTTCATCACTTTTTTCTGAGTATACTTAAAAAACTCTGTTGGGTTTTAAAGTGTTCTTCTCTTCCAAATTGTTCAACTTTTGATTAGACAAAAATTGTAACTTTTTCTTTTTAAAATTTAAATCTGCATGCCATTTAAGCATATAAAAATTACTTTTAATTTTAAATAAACCACTGTGCTCACCTATATGAGTGTGCATACTTTATTATTATTCCCAAAGACCTGGTTTCATGTATCTGAATTTGTATTTGGAAATTTAGAATTAATATATTTGTATAAAGGGCAAACCACCCAGTGTTCAATTATTATTTTTTTTTTTTGCATAGTTTTACATAAATAATAATTTTTCGTTGTTTCATAAAATATTGATATCAATGTTTTATCGTATATAGGGATGGTTGCTCTTTACAAATCACTTTGTGTGAATGAGATTGGAAAAAAAAAGGGGTTAAAGCGTCCAAATTGTCAAAATGTCAAACACTGGACGCCATCCTAAGTTTAACCTTTTTTTTCTTCCAGTATTCGATACTTATTAGATTTTTAAAAATTTAAGGTAAAAATGATTTCTCTGTCATGCCTAAATAAAAGAAGAAATTAAAAATAAAGAAACCAATATTGTTGAATAAGTTGGAGTGTCAGAGTAAAC